AACCATTTTCTGGGGTATCATAAGTGTCGAACTAGGTTTGTCATTTAGTCTATACTAACCCTTAAAAATTCGTCATCCGGTACAATATTCTATTTATGTGATATTAGTTATATAGATCTGTAATAGAAAACTCTTTGGCTGTTCTAGAAGAAAGTTTTGGATCATCAACCTGTTCATATTTCTACATTAAGGGCATGTGCCACTCTGGAGATGGTAAAATGATGCTCAGCATGAACATATTCGTGTTTGTCCATAACCTCCTTTATCCAGTGAATTGACCCTACACCATAACAAGGAAAAGAAGCTCCAGTTTTGATGGTGTGTTTTCATAATAGTTCCTGGTTAGATGTTCTTCTAACCTATTACATTTATTTTTGTTTCATCGCTCCATAGAATATTACGCCATTTCATTTAAAACGACCTTGAGCAATGTGTAATGTTATTTGAACATAATAGAGGGCCTTTTCTTGCTTCTCCTTGAAGTTATTTCTAACCCCAGTTCAGTTTCAATAGCCGTAGATGACAGTCTGTCCTCATAATAGGTTGATTTCTTCTTGCTCGGCGGTTTTCACGTATCGGTTGCCCTTTTAAAGCATTTTGCATCTTCTTGTTAGAATGACAGTGTACAGCGGATTCCACAACTAGTTTTGGCATGAATTATTTGGAAAAAAAATATCACTTTATTTCTGCTACGCCACTAATTCTTTTCGAATAATTTATTTGTAACACATCCTGACACACTGAGGCGTCATTTGTCTTAGTCATTTAAAGGGCCGTTCTGTTTCGAGTAAATTCATTTTGAAATTGTCTTAAATGGACCAAAATAATAACGATAAAATTTTTAGTATGACCCCCCCCCCCCGCCCCCCATGAAATATTAAAACGCACGGGCGTCGTTTCAGATTTGTGGATATTAATTTTTCACAAAAGTGGGCGATATATTTGATAAAATCCATATTTTATTCAGCGCCGGGTAATTTGTCAATAATATCCCAATTTTCCGCGGTCCTTACCGCCATGAATATTAATTTTTCGGTTTCATGCGCTCCACTCGTTTATTTATTTACCGGTTCGGTCCCCATGCGTTTCTCGTAAACCGAACTGGGTTGACGAAGAGGACTTTACAAAAGAAAAGGTTCAATATTAAAATTCAATCAAAATGTTTTAAACAACATCTTGCATTATTGCATTTCCGATGTATAATTTACCAACACCACAAAATGCTTTTTAAAATGCACAAGAAATCACGTTTTAGTAAATCTAGAACTTAACTAATCAAATATAGCAGTTTAAGTACGCTTAAAAATAGTTTGATATTGATTCGTTTATAAATTATTAGTTCAGTGGCATCGATTTTCTTTTTTTCTATATTTAACGTATTGCGTATTTGTTTTAAACGGAATTCAAATCAAATTAATACTGGCTTATTACAAAACGGCGTTTTTCTGTTCTCTTATGATAATTAGATGATCACATTAATCAAACTTGAACTTTTGTATTTTAAGGCCGGTCGTTTGTCACTCCTAAAAGATTCCTTTAACATTTTAGTTTGCATTCTCAGTGTCTCCACTTTTACCATTTTTTTTTACCCATTGCATTAATAATACACATGCCCGAAACGAAGAAATGGGATTTTTTAGTCTAAGGATACAATTTATAATGATGGCCTCTTTGTTTTAATTCTATAACATGTTTAAATTGTTATTTTAAACATTTAAAACAATTTTCGTGATGCTTATTTTATTATCTGTTAATTATATTGTAAACAATATTTTTGTTTTAATAAGAATAAGTAATAAAAATTATCATGCACATGTTAATTTCAGGAGGACATAAATACAAGAAAAGGGAGAGACAAATAACATTAAAAAGGAAATATTTATTGGAAGCCAGGATTACAAAGCTAAATTTAAATTGTTCCAATTTTCGTGTTTTTGCAATTTAATTAAAAGCAGTTCCCAATATTGGTTTGTTTTCCAAAAACCCTCTGAATTAATCTCCAACTTCACACTTAAGCCGCATAACCATTATACGTCTTGAGAGCTGATAGTGCAAGGCTTGTGTGTGAAAAAGTTCTATTAATTCTACGCAGTAGTTTTTGGTTGGTGCCCTTTTAAATATGGAGAGCAATAAGCAGCATTTTCGTCATATTTTACTTTTTTACTTCAGAAAAGGTAAAAATGCTGTCCAAGCGAGAAAAAAATTGACGGATGTGTATGGAGAAGGCGTGTTAACAGTACGCCAGTGCCAGAACTGGTTTGCAAAATTTCGATCCGGCAATTTTGATGTCGAAGATGCACCACGGTCTGGAAGGCCGGTCGAAGCTGACAAAGATGCGATAAAGGCATTAGTTGATGCAAATCGGCGAATAACCACACGAGAGATCGGTAAGAGATTAAATTTGTCGAATTCGACTGTTTATGGCCATTTGAAAGGCACGGGCTTAACCTCGAAGCTCGATGTGTGGGTGCGCCATGTCCTTACGGAGAGAAATTTGTGTCGTCGCGTTGACGTGTGTGATTCGCTCCTCAAACGTCAAGAAAATGATCCATTTTTGAAGCGGATTATTACTGGGGACGAAAAATGGGTTGAATAGAACAATGTTAAACGCAAGAGGTCATGGAGCAGAAAAGATGAACCTGCTCAAAGCGTGTCAAAAGCCAACATTCACCAAAACAAGGTGATGCTCTCCGTTTGGTGGGATGTCAAAGGAATCGTTTTTTTTGAGCTTTTGCCGGACAATACAACGATTAATTCAGAAGTCTATTGTCATCAACTGGATAAATTGAATGATTCACTTAAAGAGAAGAGGCCCGAATTAATCAACAGGAAGGGTGTAGTGTTCCACCAGGATAATGCGAGACCCCACACAAGTTTGGTCACTCGCCAAAAACTTTTACAGCTTGAATGGGACGTACTGCAACATCCACCATATTCTCCAGATCTGGCGCCTTCCGACTACTATTTGTTCCGGTCCCTGCAAAATTTTTTGGATGGCAAAACCTTTACCTCAAATGAAGATGTCAAAAACCACCTGAACCAGTTTTTTGCCAGCAAGGATCAAAACTTTTATGAGAGGGGAATTATGTTACTGCCAGAAAGATGGCAAAAGGTGTTGGACCAGAATGGCCAATATATAATTTAATAAAATATTTATTCATTATACGAAAACTGTCTTTCATGTTCCCCAAAAAAAACGAAATGACTTTCCGAACAACCCAATAATTTCTGAGGGCCTATTCAACACTGCAAAAATCCAATATGGTGACCATAAGAAAAATAATGTTGATAACCGTTACCGTGATCCTAACGGTGACAGTCGAATTTGAAACAGTACACGGAGGTATGCAGAGTTTTTCAAAAACAAAGTTCTGCTAATATCTATCCTAATTTTTATATCTTGATAAAAAAAAATGTCCATAAAATTTCATTTAAGTTTCTCCGATGCAGAAATAATTATGTAAAAAAATAATAAAAATAATATATCTAATATATGAAACCACACCCTCAAACTAACGCAATTTTTCTGTTCACCCCGTATAAACAACTGATAAATATCGAATAAAACTATGACAGAGCGGTTGGCGGATCGTAGCGTTTTACAGATGAACTGATAATTAGAATTGACAATTTATGGCGGACGGTTAATATCGCAATTGCAGTAATAGTAAAGGATATCCATTTTAAATGAACTGTCGATTGTTGAATGCCTAGGTTTTCTGGGTTTTATATTTGATTCAAATTACATCGGATTATTTGTTTTGCTTAATTAATATTTCTTATGATTCTATACACAGAAAGTATCAAATTCACAATGTGTAATGTATCGGGCAGTCATTTGTATTTCGCCGCTCATCTATAGCTCTAACCATAGGTTTTAGTTTTAGTTTTGGTGTCACGAAAAAATTAATACAATTTTTTTCCGTGGCTCTATTCTCAATTATTTTTGCACTTGAAAAGTTTCGTTTTTATGCATTTAAGTTCCACATTCTTATTGCATTTTTATTTTTATATTCAATAACACTGAGATATTGAAATATCAAAGTCCTGCGGCTTTAAGTTTAATGGTTTAGATTTTAAAGGCGTTCGAATTTTTCAAAATTGGTCAGAATGTCATTTTTCTAGTGTCAATAGCTCATAAAAAATTGAAATTAAGTCATTAAATGATATACCAAAACGGGCAAATTGGAGTTGACTTTAAGATAACCGAATAAAATTAGTAGCGACGGCCCTATATCTTTTATATCTTATACTTTTTTATTTTTTATGCTTTTCTTAAAAAATGGCACGAATTTACTTTTGAAATATAATTTCAGGAAAGAATAACCTTGCTAAACAGTTGAACTAACTATCATCAATAAACAAACTCATAAAAATTATATTTAAAATGTTCAGTACTTAAGCGTCATAAATCCGTTTAAATCTATAAACCAGAAAGAGATAAATTATTATTACACTGTATAGACTGAAACCTATGGTCCAAATAGGGACTTATAAGAAAGGAAGCTGCATTAATTTAGATACCCGGAGTGTATGACTTATCGAATAAAATGCATTTGAATAATCTAACAGATAAAGGATATCAATAGTACGCACTCACATTCATAGGGGCAACACAAACACAACAAGTTTTTGGTACAACCTGTTAGCAAATTTCGGCAATTAAATACAATATTGATTGATTAAAATAATGATTATATGAGAAAACTATCAACTTCGATCTAGCAGGATACGACCTTTGCGAGACCTTTAAGCATTAAGTATATTTGACATTTACCAAATGGAAAAAATAATTAATCAGAAATTTAACTTTTCAGTGTTGTGCAGACCAAGGCTTTAACACCTGCTTTTAATACTTAATAACTATACTTCCAAATATTCTTGTTGACTTCTTAACCCGAAACATTCGATTCATCGCCAACTGTAGCAACAGGAATCCAAAACATAATATGATTTTTTAACGATTTTTTTTCGCTTAATTTAAGCGCTACAACGCTTACCGACGGATTTGGCATGCACCTCCTGGGCATGGGCTCGGGGCTCCTGTACGTGGGGGAGTATCGGCCCGCGAAGCAGGCCCCCGACGAGGTTATGGGCCCGTGGAGCCCCGTGGGGCCCTTCGCCCCCATCATTTTGTCCGGCGAGTACATCAGATCTGGGTCTAGTCCCCCCACTCCGTTAAACCAAGAACCCCGACACTGAACACTGACGGATACCACCGACTGTCATTCCGAATAGCTGTTTCGAAACTGTATAGTACCGCTGCGGGATAAGGAGCTGTACAAGCAACAGTGTGTGTGTGTGTGTGAGTGAGCGTTTCGCGGCTATGCAAATTTCCACCCTCAGTGCGGCCGGACGAGCGTCGTCGAACTGAAGTCTGCCATTGGGGGTGAACGTCGCGTTTGGGGGGTCGCGGCGCGCGACGCCTGCGTGCTCGAGCGTCCCGACGCCCGCCCATGTACAGCCGCATTTCGCCTCTCTTCTCCCGACACACAAATTAGTGGCATTTTGATGGTGTATGGATTTTTGAATGGGTATTCGATCGGGAACATACGGCGCACGAAACCCACCGCGTATAGGGGGCCTAGCAATTCGAAAACACGTCGGTTTTCCTTCTTACGTCTCAGTCTATATCAGAAAGTACGTACCAGACGTACTTGGTGATTGCTTGAACAATAAATACTTTTGTTTTAAACTTAAAAGTCACCTTACGTTTTGAACACATCTCGTATCGTCACCGCCGACCTAGTTGAAGTTCATCAGTTTTGAAGTCACCACAAATCATCGAACTTCTTGATTTTCCCAAAGCAGTAGTCCAAGATTTTCGTAGCAGTCTTTCATTTGCACAGAGTGAGCAACGGCGTGCAAAAAAAAACAACGTTAAGGCTTCATTTACGCAACTAAAGGCCTCCAGTCCTCAGAATTGCAGTCTGTGCCAAGTATTAAAAATATCGGTGCAATAACCAAGTAATCCATTTTGATCAAAATATCCTATAAAATTTGTGATAGTAAATTTTTGTTTTGCAGTCTACATGTCATTAAGTTCTGATTGTGAAAATAAATGTGGCAATGTTTTGACTACATGTTTCGGAATTCCAAAAATTATATTGGTTGTTCGGAAAGTCATTTCGTTTTTTTTGGGGAACATGAAAGACAGTTTTCGTATAATGAATAAATATTTTATTAAATTGTATATTGGCCATTCTGGTCCAACACCTTTTGCCATCTTTCTGGCAGTAACATAATTCCCCTCTCATAAAAGTTTTGGTCCTTGCTGGCAAAAAACTGGTTCAGGTGGTTTTTGACATCTTCGTTTGAGGTAACGGTTGTGCCAGCCAAAAAATTTTGCAGGGACCGCAACAAATAGTAGTCGGAAGGCGCCAGATCTGGAGAATATGGTGGATGTTGCAGTACGTCCCATTCAAGTTATAAAAGTTTTTGGAGAGTGACCAAACTTGTGTGAGGTCTCGCATTATCCTGGTGGAACACTACACCCTTCCTGTTGATTAATTCGGGCCTCTTCTCTTTAAGTGAATCATTCAATTTGTCCAGTTGATGACAATAGACTTCTGAATTAATCGTTGTATTGTAAGGCAAAAGCTCAAAAAAAACGATTCCTTTGACATCCCACCAAACGGAGAGCATCACCTTTTTTTGATGAATGTTGCCTTTTGACACGCTTTGAGCCGGTTCATCTTTTCTGCTCCATGACCTCTTGCGTTCAACATTGTTGTATACAACCCATTTTTCGTCCCCAGTAATAATCCGCTTCAAAAATGGATCATTTTCTTGACGCTTGAGGAGCGAATCACACACGTCAACGCAATGACACAAATTTCGCTCCGTAAGGACATGGGGCACCCACACATCGAGCTTCGAGGTTACGCCCGTGCCTTTCAAATGGCCATAAACAGTCGAATTCGACAAATTTAATCTCTCACCGATCTCTCGTGTGGTTATTCGCCGATTTGCATCAACTAATGCCTTTATCGCATCTTTGTCAGCTTCGACCGGCCTTCCAGACCGTGGTGCATCTTCGACATCAAAATTGCCGGATCGAAATTTTGCAAACCAGTTCTGGCACTGGCGTACTGTTAACGCGCCTTCTCCATACACATCCGTCAATTTTTTTCTCGCTTGGACAGCATTTTTACCTTTTCTGAATTAAAAAAGTAAAATATGACAAAAATGCTGCTTATTGCTCTCCATATTTAAAAGGGCACCAACCAAAAACTACTGCGTAGAATTAATAGAACTTTTTCACACACAAGCCTTGCAATATCAGCTCTCAAGACATATAATGGTTATGCGGCTTAAGTGTGAAGTTGGTTTCGAAAAAACGTAATTAAGTCCTCTGACGGGAAAAAACGAAATGACTTTCCGAACAACCTTATATTTTACTTTCAGGGAGTCCTCGTTCATATTCTGTCAATTATGTAATGTTCCTGTTTTTAAAGCAATAAATGTCACATCTCAAAAATTAATTTAAAAATATGATTCCTCGTGAATATTCTGTCAATTTATGCAAAATGTATGTCAGTGGCGTAGCAATTTCAATTTTTGGAATGTTATGTAATGTTTCTATTTCTAAAGCAATAAATATGACATCTCAAAAATTAATCGAAAAATATAATATAAGTCCAAAAATATGAAAAATACCAAATCACAAACTTTATATTGGAACGCAGGAGAGTCTTCTTCTGCTCGGATAGTAGGGCTGCACTCATGGCGCTGAAGTCAGTGCGTACGCGCTCCTTGTTGATAAAGGAGCGCAAAGGAGTACTGAGGAGGGTGGCTGAGGAAAGAAAGGTCACGTTGGTCTGGGTCCCGGTATCCGGGGCAATGTGAGGCGGGGAGCTCTCGAAGCCTGGGCGAGAGACCGGGCCGCGGGGAGCTGCTTAGACTGACCAGAAGGGAGTGTAGAGCACTAACAGGGGCCTACACAGGACATTGCAGGCTTAGGAGGCATCTTTGCTTGCTAGGCATTGGAGACGACCCGGAGTGTAGGTGGTGTATGGAAGGGGAGGAGACCCCGTATTCATCTGCTCACCGAGTGCCCTGCCTTGACATGGGCAAGATTGGGAGTCTTCGGAACGGCCCTGATCGATCCGGACTCAGTGCACGGTATTGGGCTAAAGGAGTTGCTGACCTTCTACAGGAGGGGCGGCATTCTGGACGCCCTCTAGAGCGGCCTGGGGGCACAACGGGCCCATCTGGTGGCCTAAGTGCTTGGACGCCCGCGAGGGCGCCCCCCTTTAATACCAATACCAATACCAATACCTACGAAGAACAAAACTTTCACACATAAACCCTTTACTCCATGGGTTACTGAAAATAATACATTTTTAATGAAGTTAAGAGACAAGGCCTATAAAAAATACATACGAACATCGGCTCCTCATTATCTTTCATATTATCGATTAAAACTAACCAAAGCTAAGGAATTATACCAAAACATGCAATAGCTAGGATAAAAATAACTTATTTTAATACATTTTCGCACAAAAATAAACTAGATATATCTAAAAATGAAAATTGGGTCGAGATTTCAGAAGAGCTCCAAGAGATATCCATAATTTTTTTTCGAGAGAGCGATAATTTACCTGATACCACATCCCCTGATCTAATAAATTTTTACAACAGTAACATAGCAATAAATTACGACACTTTCATTTTTTTAATAACACCAAGCTTGAAAAAATAATCTCAGGCGTTCATTTTAGACGAAAAATTCCCATCTATCCGGGAAAAAGCAATCATTTAAGGTGGCAAACCCTAAAGAAAAAAAAGTATTTCAATATAGGGACTGCCATTATTAATTTGTCTTACACCTTTTTTTTATTCAATAATGGGATTGCCACAATTCCTTTAATCAGTAATGGGATTGCCATTATTAATCTCTGTTTTACATTTTTTTTTCATTCAATAGTAGGATCCCACTATTGAATTGCTTATTCAAAGTTTAAACAAAAAATAAGTGTAACAAGAAGAAAGTGTAAAATGATTAAATGTAGTGGCGATCCCACTGAAAGATTTAAAAAAAATTGTATAGCAGATTAATAATGGCAATCCCAATATTGAACTGAGGTGGCTTTTATCGAAATCCATTTATCAAAATAAATAAGAACTAAAAGTTCAGATTTTCACGAAACACCGTGTCTTTATCATAAAGACGCGGTGTTGTCGAAACAATTGTCATGTCATAATATTTAATTTCGTGAAAATCTCAACTTTTAGTTCCCATTTATTTTGAATCCCAATATTGAAAAAAAAAAAGAAAAACTGTGTAAAGAACGCATGAATAACGATAATATCGTTATTGATTAAAGGATAATGGCAATCCTATTACTGAATAAAAAAGAAAAAGGTGTAAAATATATTAACAAGGGGAATCTCGTCTTTGATTAAAGAAATAACGTTTCAACCCTAAATAATACTCTCCCCAAAAAGCAAAGTACCTATTACAACATTAATGTTTGTTTACGGCTCTTCGGTGTACATCGTGCTGCCCTTCGTCCTGACTCAGCACACGTGACTTTCGAAGGTCATTCAAAAGATATCGCTAACATTTATAAACTACCTGCTATAAAATATAAGGAGCTTAAAAGCGTAGCGCTTATTTCTCAAATGCCCCCCGCCAACCCGCAGCGAAACTGCCGCCAGCTCGTTATACCTTTAAAGTGTCGAATTCGGTTAAAACCGCCCCCGCCGCCGCCGCCGCGTAACCAAATTAGTACCCAGTCGTTGTCCTAATTAGACCGTGAGCGGGAAACAGCCGCAAACGACCGGAAACAAACTGCCCCCCGGAATCGATCCCCGCTAATAAGATCTCCCGTAAAACTAACGGGATCCGGCAGTCGGAGTGGGGGAAGTTAAGTAAAACGCTTTCCGTAAAAGTTACAGCATCCCATTTGTAAAGCGTCACCTCTTAGTAGAGACGAATCGGGCTCGTTAAGCGGCCCCCGCCCCCCTCCCCGACCGCCTACGTCGGACGGGACGTTTATACAACGCTCGAAGAAACTTTGTTTAACTATGGTATAGTCTGTCTTAAAGTATATCGTCTACGACGAATAGTTTCATCATCAGTTTCATCAGTGTAGGCTTCACCATGCACTTAAAATGGATAAAATAAAACACCCTGTACACTGTGTCCCATCTTGATAAAACGCTTTAAAGTTATTAGACTGAGAATGATTTACCTCAACTTGTTCAAGAAGTTGATAACATTCAGGTCCGACAAAAGTGTTGTCAGTAAGATGAAGCTGCTCCGCCCCCCTCCCCCTCGATAATGTAGACTTAATAAGGATATGTTAAAGATTTTCTTCTTCTTCTTCTTCTTTTTATACTGACTACTCTGTA